GGAGAAGGCATGGAGAAACCTGATCAAACATGGACCTGCTCTGACCAATGGGCTGGACCAGAAACCTGCAGAAATGCTTTTCCACCTACATTATTCTGTGATGTCAATGCTCTTACTCTCAGTCAGGCTACTCTGAGGTGAATTTCCAGTAAAACAGATAACCTGGATTTTTATGCAAGGGAGAAACTAAATTTAATTGGAAAGCTAATGATTGAAATTAAGCTTCCAAAATGAACTTAAATCTGAACTGTCATACCTGCATTGGTATTTAACCCAATTTATTTAACCTAAAAACATACCTTTGTCAGAAATTCCATATAAATAAAGGTGAGTATAAATGAGAAGGGAAAACAGACCTAGGGTGAAACTTTATCAGGTAAGACAACAGCTGCAAGCCAATGAAACAGAATTATTCCTACAGCTGCTGTGTAGGAGAATGAAGGACATTCTCACCTCTAGATGTGGGAACCTCTGCCTGTGGTGGCAGAAGAAAATGGCAGAAGAAAAAAGAAAACCATCTTCTTGGTCTTTTTTGAGGAGATATTCATCCAGGGATGTTCCCTCTGAGGACATATAGTGGTTTAGGGCTTCATGACAGACCACAGTGACTGAAGACAGAGATGATAAATATTCTGTAGCAGGACAGGCTTTTTATTCTGGGTTTGTCTGATGCTTAGCATGGTTGGATGCTTGAAACAGGGTGTTTCAAAGCACAGTATGAATAAGCAATACTTTATAAGAGGACCGTTGGTTTTGCTAATCCACGTTGATGTTCTTCTTTCATTCTGGATGGGGAATTGTGGCTCAAAACAAAATGGCTCACCCAGTTATTCTGTAGACCTATTCAGCCTTGGCTGGCTGGTAGAGATAGACACTTTGATTTATTTTGATTAGAAAGGAAGTCTGGATGAGTGACTTGGCGATAGATATCTCTACCTAGAAAGGTCAGTATTTAGTCAGGTAAATGTCACATTTCCTTCTGCCCTGACTAGGTCTCCTCGCTGGGGAGTGGCAATGACCATGTGATGGATGCTGTGTCTCAATGCGAGCAATATGCCAAAGAGCAGGGAGCACAGGAGCGCAATGCACCGTGGCGGCTCTTCTTCAGGAAGGAGATCTTCACTCCTTGGCACAACCCGAATGAGGACAATGTGGCCACCAATCTCATTTATCAACAGATTGTGCGAGGGGTGAAGTTTGGGGAGTACCGGTGTGATAAGGTATGTGATCTCAGCAGCTACTACTCTGGTCCAACATGTATCCTCAAAATGGTTTCACCAAAGGGGATGAGAAACCTCCCTCCCTGAACACCTGCCAGCTTGGGGATTATGGCATTCACTTGGGAAACAGTAGCTACAGGGATCAGATCCTCTTGGCTGGGGAGAGACCAGACGCTTCCATGTGCTGTCTGAGCACCCTCTCCCAGTGAATTTTGAATGGAAGAGTGAACAGCCACTTCATCCATCAGCCTCAGCTGAGAGGGCGCAGGTAGTCTGTAACCAAACCAGGAGTACACAACAGCATCCTGTTTGGTAAATCCTGCTAAGCATTAGATATGAGAGATGCTTTTCAGGATACCCAGACATCTGCCGTGTAATACAGACCCAATAAAGCCTCCATAAGCTGAAGGGACATTGGCAGCAGAAACCTCTGCCTCTAGAGTCTCTGGGAGCTTACACAATTATTCCAGTGTCATTGAAATGAACACCTCAGGAAACATCAAAATCTCTGACAATGTCCATCACTTTTTTTTTTCTTGTTTTTAAAATCATCCAAATGTCACATTGAAGAAATCTCTCTTCCCCAACACCTAATCGTTCTCCTGTGATACAGTAGAGTCCACTCACCTTGGGAACTAAATAATATTTTCCCATCTGTATTGCATTAACTGCAGGTCCTTTATCCTATTTATCCTTTTATCAGAGGTCCTGCCCTTTCTAACTCCCCTTCTCCCCTTTCTAACTCCCCTTGATGATCCGAGGGCTGGAGCACTTCTCCTATGAAGACAGGCTGAAAGAGTTGGGGCTGTTCAGCCTGGAGAAGAGAAGGCTCCGGGGAGATCTTATAGCGGCCTTCCAATACCTGAAGGGGCTACAAGAAAGCTGGGGAAGGACTTTTCATAAGGGCAGTTAATGACAAAACAAGGGGAAATGGGTTTAAGCTGAAAGAGGGGAGGTTTAGATGAGATATTAGGAAGAAGTTCTTCACTGTGAGGGTGGTCAGACACTGGAACAGGTTGCCCAAGGAAGTTGTAGATGCCCCCTCCCTGGAAGTGTTGAAGGCCAGGTTGGATGAGGCTTTGAGCAACCTGGTCTAGTGGAAGGTGTCCCTGCTGCTGGCAGGGGGGTTGGAACTGGATGATCTTTAAGGTCCCTTCCAACCCAGACCATTCTGTGATTCTATGATTCTCTTGCTCCTGATTTCCTTGTGCTATTATTATCTCAGTAACTCTATTATTTTGCCCCAAAATGTTTGGAATGTAGCTGCACCGAAGGACATTTTACAGTTCTGTGTTATGCACAGATGCTTTGGTTGCTGGGCTTCTCAAGTATGAGAAATGATGGCTACGTGTAGTTTTGAATCATTAAACTCTGTCTACCATAGCAAAATCCCCCCCTGCTGATTGCAAGCATCAGAAGCAGACTGAACTACAAGGAAAGACTGGGATAAATGTTCACACACAGTACAGGGCTGCATGGTGCTGGTCACTGACCATATTAAGGCTTAAACAGGATTTTTAGTGGTCAATCTCCTCAACTTGAGATGTACAAAAAGCACTGGTGAAGTTCTGCTGAAAGGAAGCATCCCCACACCGATCTGAAGCAACAGTACCTCCAGCCTCCACAAAGAGCTCCTTGAGTGATGGAGGATGGATATTGAGGTGAAGACCTGGTAACAGCATTAACTTGATTTGTTTGGCTCCCACAGGAAGAAGATCTGGCAGAACTGGCTTCCCAGCAGTACTATGTGGATTATGGGTCAGAGATGGTCCTGGAAAGGCTGTTAAATTTAATTCCATCCTACATCCCAGACAGAGAGATCACAGCTTCGAAAACAGTGGAAAAATGGGCTCAGCTCATTATAGCTGCTCATAAAAAGGTAGGGACAATAGATCACCTGTCATGGTGACCAAGGCATGCTTCAGTAGTTTTGAGTGTCTTTTAAATGTATGTCAGACATCATAGCTCAGCTCTTAGCCTGGCCTGAAGCTAAATCAAAGAGAAAGAGTAGGGTTTGTATGAGCTATATTCAACTTTACTACTAGTTTCGAGGCCAGACCTAACAGAAGAAGACAACTTAGAGATGCACTGTGAGAATCAAAATGCCATCTCTGGGGTTTCATTCCTGGTACACAGGACTGTGGCATTATTGGTTGTATTAAGTGGCAGCTGATGTATCTAGGCCATGTCAGGACCTTATTTTGCCAGGCATTGTATAAAACCTCCCTGACTTTCATAAGAACATTTGTGACACCTTTCCACAGTGACGCATTCCATAACTCATTAGCCACAACTCATGACCAGGCATAAAGGCTGGTCATCCAGCCATGAGAATTCACATTCTTTCAACTGCAGGACCCAGCTTCAGCTTCAGGAAGTTGTGGATGCCCCCTCCCTGGAAGTGTTCAAGGCCAGGCTGGATGAGGCTTTGAGCAACCTGATCTAGTGGAAGGTGTCCCTGCTGATGGCAGGGGGATTGGAACTGGATGATCTTTAAGGTCCCTTCCAATCCAAACCATTCTATGATTCTATGATTCTATGATTCTGTGATTCTGTGATTCTATGATTAAGACCCCTAAAATGTAAGCATCTCCATGTGTGTTAGAAGTCTCACCTCCCATTACTGTCAATGGAGACCCAAGGATGCAAGTCAGTTGGATCTTGCAGGTCCTCCATCAGCCTCTCAGCTACATACAGAAGTCTCAGGTATCTTAGGATGTCTTAAATGAAGCTAGATGCCTGTGCTAAGGGCTATTGAGTGTCTATTTCTAGCTAAAGGGCCATCAAACTGAAAGGTAGACACCTACCTACCTTAGGGAAACCCAAATTTAGCTGAGATGAATCCCATCCAGACTGGTTACTCTAGGTGCTTGCACATCCTTCTCAGAGTTGAATTATTCCCTGAAGTGGGAACCAAAATTTTCCAACCTATCACATGTTCCTCTAGGACTTTGGCCCTTAGTCTCATGGAGACCTAAATTAATATTAGTTCCAAGATCTGCAGGTGACATGAATTGGTTTTGTTTGCTCCCTTCCTGGCTCTATAACTGGGTTTGTGCTTCATGTGGGTTGTAATTTGTTTTGTCTGTAGGGAATTTATACTCAGAAGAGGACAGATCCCAAAAAAGTCAAGGAAGAGGTGGTGGATTTTGCACGTTTCAAGTGGCCTCTGCTGTTTTCTCGATTTTACGAAGCCTTCAAATTCTCAGGTGAGTCAGTAGAGCACATCTTGTGGAGCACAGGATCCTCCAAAGCAAAAGGAGGGAGAGAGAGAGACTCCACAGATGAGAAGACTTGATGGACCATCAAGCTGGTCTTTTTTGGATACATTATTTTTTGATGCATCCTGATTAGCAATGGCTCAAGGTATGAGCCTGCCCCTATTTCTCTTACTAAAAATAACACTAATTTTTTTGATCATTGCATCCTCCTTTGAAATTTTCTATATCCTAAGACCCCTCATGAGCTAATTGTATGTCTCGTCTTCAACCCAGGGCCAAGTCTGCCTAAAAATGATGTGATTGTAGCTGTCAACTGGACAGGGGTGTATTTTGTGGATGAACAGGAGCAGGTTCTCTTGGAGCTCTCTTTCCCAGAGATCACAGCTGTGTCAAGCAACAGGTAAGGGAGGACTTAGCTGGTGATCTCACCTTCAACAGTCTTTTTCCAGGCTTTGCCTGTTGATGCCATTATCTTTCCTGTTTATGTCTCCTATAAAAATATATCCCAGAGGGGGAAAGCTGCAAGGGCAGAGTTTCACCTTGGCCACCATTAAAGGTGATGAATATACTTTCACCTCCAACAACGCAGAGGATATTCGGGACCTGGTGGTAACCTTCCTTGAAGGACTAAGGAAAAGATCCAAGTATGTGGTCACTCTTCAAGATAACCCAAACCCTGGTAAGTAAATGTCCCAGTCTAGTGGTAAACGTATAGATAATTATTCCCAAGGGATGTGGAAAAAAAATAATCAAACTAATGGTTGTTTTCCTTGTAGCGGGAGAAGAATCTGGATTCCTCAGCTTCCTCAAAGGAGACCTCATAGTTCTGGACCAGGATACAGGAGAACATGTGATGAACTCAGGGTGGGCTAACGGGTTCAATGAACGGACCAAGCAGAGAGGGGATTTCCCAACTGATTCCGTCTATGTCTTGCCTACAGTCACCATGCCTCCACTGGAGATCGTGGTAAGCTGTCTCACAGAATGGCACAACTTGACACAAAGCCCAGGGAGGTCAAAGCCTTCCTGAAAAGCTAAGATCTGGCCAGAGTCTCCTTGATGATAGGGTGGAAACCAAAGTGACTGAGAGAGGTGACAAGTTGTCCAAGGCAGAAGTGATCTCAGCCTTTCTTCTGGTTTTGTCACTTTGAACAACACAAGTCACCACTTATGAGTTGGAATAGCCATGAATTCTGCTACATCTCTCCAGCTAGCCTCATTACTTTAAGGTGTATCAGGGGTTGGAGTGAATCCCTACATTTATGTATGGAGCTGTAGGATCCAAAGCACAAAATCTTTATTAGGAAATGATCCATACTATGGAAACATTTGTCGTTCCTTGCATTAACGACTGCGAATGGCACAGAAAAATGACAATCACACAGTTCTTACTGACCATTAACTGGAATTAATCAGTTATTCTTGTTCACTCACTGTTCTCCTTTTCATTTTGTATCTGCTTCCTCTCTATGAATACAACATATATATATATGTGTATGGATTTTATATATATATATAAAATCAAATATACTGGGTGACATAGATGTTTTCATCCCACAGGCACTGGTCACAATGACCCCTGACCAACGACAAGATGTTATCAGAACCTCTCAGCTGGAAATTTCAGACAGTGAAGAGAGAGTAAAGCCATACACCTTGGAGGAATTTTCCTATGATTATTTTAGGTGATTTTTTAATCCATCCTCAAAAATTACAGGAATAGGAATCCATCTCCAGGTATCTTGGGAATCAGGAAATTTTTGGCTACTAGAAAAAGACTCTGAATATCCCTTTGTATGACTTTATACAACTGCAACTTCCCATTTAGGTCATGGCATTTGAGCTGTAAGTTTTCCACAGACAAGGTTTTATGAAGGATTTCTTCAGATTGGCTCAACACAGATATAAGAGTGTGAAATTTAGTATTATGTGGGAGGTTGTGCTTAGTGGTCTGATATTCCTTTCCTATGATCCCATACACAGCCTCAGACCATATAGGCAGCAGTTGAATTAGGTGTGTGAGCATTTTCCTCTCAACTCCAAAGATTAAAAGGTGTACCACTGTTGAATGCAGCTGGCCAGACTGATCCCAAAACTCCCACTCCTGTTCAGATGGGTTGGCAATCCAAACAGGCAGACCAGATCCTCTGGGATGTCTTCACTCTGGTAGGCTTGTTCTACCAGTGTTGCTGCCCTAACCATCATCCTTCCTCTTGTGGTTAGAAGATTTTTGGGGTAGGGAAAGTTGTTTTGGTGTCAATATTTGGGTAGGGTCCTTAAGGGACTTTTCTGAGTTCTAGGAAAGTATAAATGGTTGTCTTTGGCAGAACTGGAGCTGGATACTTGCTAGACTGTGAAGTTCCTTTTGGTATAAGAGTTCATTAGCCAGGTGCTGTGAGCAACCTTCCCAGGTAAAAAATTGGCCACAAGCTGTCCCTTTTTTCCCTGTAACCTCTCCACCTTTCCTCTTGCTTTGATTTTTCCACCAGGCCACCTCCCAAACACACCCTGAGCCGGGTCATGATCACCAAGAGCCGCGGGAAGGACAAGCTGTGGTGCTACACCCGCGAACCCATCAAACAGCCGTTGCTGAAGAAGATCTTGGGCAGTGAGGAGTTGTCCCAAGAAGCTTGCATGGCCTTCATTGATATCCTTCCACTGCCTGGAGAAGCCCTTGGGCAACAGGTCTGACAGGGAAAGGGTTGAGCGGGTTCTTCAGCATCCCAAGCAGAGCCCATGGAAAGGTTTTTGGTCCCTCTTAAGGGCTTTGGGACCATGTCACAGGCTTGGAGATGGGTCTGATCCTGAAATCTGTACTCAAGCATCCTTGAGATCTGAGGGGTGTCTACTTCTTAATAAATGAGGGTGAGGGAACAAGTTATTGTGTCCTGCTGGTCCACACTGCTTGGAGGTTAACTCACTGGCTCTGTTCTGGCTTGCCTCAACCATGTCTCTCCAAAATGCATCTGCTGTGGAAGGCTGTCGCCCTAATCAGCATGGATGCAAATGAGTCCACATGGCCTCGGGGACAGGGTTTGGTACCTGAATGTCCCTTACTTGGCAGAACATACAGAGCATGGGAGAGATGAGTTCAGTGCAGATACAACCTGTTGAAGTAGCCTTTATTTTTTGGTGGGGCTTTGCTGTAGGATCCAAACTTCATGGTTTGAACAGTTCTATGGTATAACCAGAGAACAGAATCATAGAATAGTTGTCATACGGCATGATGGTGAAGGTTAGCAGTTGGTTTATGTTACTACAGTTCCACTGGTGTCTGACACTAGCTGAAAATCTAGTTTTTTACAGTGGTACCTGTGTGTGTGATCAGGTAACACATGGTCACACACAGCTTTCTTAGGTGTACATATCCTGACCCCAAAACAATACCTCCAACCTGAAGTGATGCATGATAAAAGGAGAAAGCTTAATGGACATCTCCTAAAGCAACGTAAATCCCTTTAGCATATATTTGGCTCCACCAAATTGCAGCCATTTCTATAGTCATGTGTAGGATGTCTTCAATCACATCACCAACAGCATGGCTTTTTCAAACCTCCTGGTTAGCTGATCCTTGACTCCTACCTCCCACCAGTGCTAAAGTATATGGGCGACTACCCATCCAAAAGGACCCGCTCAGTTAATGAGCTCACAGACCAAATATTTGAAGGTGCCTTGAAAGCCGAACCCCTGAAGGATGAAATCTACTGCCAGACCCTCAAGCAGCTCACAGAAAACCACATCAAGTAAGAGTTGTTCATTCTCCTTGGCCCAAATGCACTAGGCTGTGTTGGGCAAAGCAGATCTGAAGTGTCCATGCCGTGAGTCATTTTTTTTCCTCCTGGGTCTCTCCTCATGTAGGTACAGTGAAGAGAAAGGCTGGGAACTGTTGTGGTTGTGTACAGGCCTTTTCCCTCCAAGTAACATCCTCCTGCCCCATGTCCAGAGGTTCCTGCAGTCCAGGAAACATCACCCCTTGGCAGCAGACTGCATCCAGAGACTTCAGAAAGCCCTGAGGTATGGCACCAAAGCACCTCCTAGTCCTGGCCATGCCACGGCATACAAATATGCGTAAGAAAATACAAGTAGGAGATATTTTGGTGGTTGGGGGGACAGTGAAAGCTCACAGCCTGGCTCTGCATTCAACTAAGCTGAATGAAAGGGATATTGGGTGGAAGATGTCACTGGTAAACTGTCTAGGAAAAAATAGAGATTAATTAAGTCAGCTTTGTCGTGCCAGCTCTATTTAAGTCACCTACAACCTAAGCAAATACACATTCCCCATTCCATTTTTGTTTTTCTTCTTTACAGAAGGCAAAAAACCCTAATATTAAGAAATTACCCAAAATTACTCAGAATATGTATTAAAATGGAAGCTTTAAACAAATCTTGCTTTGTTGCTGTGGCACTTGCCACCTCTTGTTTTACAGGAATGGATCCAGGAAGTACCCTCCCCATCTGGTAGAAGTGGAAGCCATTCAACACAAAACCACCCAAATTTTCCACAAGGTTTACTTCCCTGATGACACCGATGAGGTAAATAGAGGAGAAGGAAATTCTTCTTTTCTGTCAGGCTGATAATTTTCTTATTAAAGTCTCAGAAGAAGCTAATATTGGTTCTGATTCAGAAAAACTCAGCCTTTCCAGAAGACTCTGGACCAGAGCTGTGTAAGGAAAACCCATCCTTATCTACTCTGACCAGCCCAGGGGTTTGATTTACTACAATTCATGTTTTGTCAAGACATGAGTGCTGTGCTGGAGTTCACTGGAGGCTTCATAGTATGACCCCAGAAAGAAGGAAAACGGGTGGGTTCATCTCCATTCACTCACAATGGTTCCCAAGCCTTGGATATCAGTTATTTGCAGCCTAGACCAACAGATATTGTCCACCCAACAGATATTGTCCACCAGTGGGGTACCGTGATGGGGCTCCCTGGGGACTGGGAAGGCTATAGCTGCACTGGCAAGTAGGTAACTGAAATTTTACCTTCTGACCTGAGATGACACAGAAATCATATCTGCACTCAGGAACATCTCATTAAGCATCTTACATGCTAATAAGGAAGCTAGTTATAATGCCAGAGCAGATATGCATGTCCTTGCAGATACTGCTGTCTCATGCTACTGATTAGTCTTCCTGTGAGGCTTGTACCTCCCTCTCCCTTCATGACCTTGGGGACAACTAAATTCTTGTCTTTCCAAGTGGGTTTATGTGTAAAGCAGTGCAAACCCATGGAAGGAAAAGGATGATTCCTTTCCAGCAGCTCTGCATGTCCTTGTTTATCTGTAATGGAGAGTTGAGAGAACTTCTGGGATTTCTCAACACTTTTGAGTATTTTGTCTACATGGCCATCAATAAGCATGACACTGCTTTATACACATATTGTGTGAAAGCCAGTAGAAGGAGGCAGTGAGGACTTCTGCACTTGGATGGGTTTGCTGTGATCCTTTTGGCCATGGTAGTCACACAGTTGGACTGGTAGAGGAGCATCACCCGAGTACAACATGCATCGACACCAAAGGGCTGCTGAACACCAGCAGCACTGAGCTCCAGGCTGGTCTCTCGAGGGATATGGAATATGGGTCCTGGTAGTTTGGTGGTTCAGGCTAACGCAGCCATGCATGTGGTGGTCAGAAGCTTAAATTACTTAAACTGCTATGAACTGGGTCTCTTTTAAGTGAGCAGAGCAAAACTGAGGCGATATAAATGCTGAAAAGGCAAAACAGGGGCTGGGACATGCATGCAGGTGGGAGAGTCCTTTAGATATCCCATCCACATGTAAAGCAGGAGTCATCTCCCCTCTCTTCAGCTATCCACAAATCAAGCATTTGGTCTAAGCCAGGCATCTGACTTCCTCATCATCAGTGGAGGGAAAGTTGGGACAATTCAGCCTGGAGGTATCTGTCTCAATCTCTCTCTCCACCCTAGACAAATAGCTCCGAGACCTAAATGTTAGATCAGAAAAATCTCTTGCATTGCCTAGGGTTCCCTGGACAAGCCAGCACAGGATATAGATAGAGCATCTCAAAGCACAACAGTACAGCACTAGCATGGCTCAGCTTCTGCAAACATCCCTTCCCATGCCCAGAGCCACAATCCACCATGTCACTGTTTTCATTGGTGGTGGGCACCTCAATCCCTTCATGTATCTGCACCTAGAATTACTTAAAGAGACTAGAGAGTGGAAATTAACTTGAGGTAGCAGTGGTGAGGATCTTCTTTTCTTTGCAGGCATTTGAGGTGGAGTCCAGTACGAAAGCCAAGGACTTCTGCCAGAACATCTCCAACAGGCTGCTCCTTAAGTCCTCTGAGGGCTTCAGCCTCTTCGTCAAAATCTCCGACAAGGTGAGTGACTCACAAAGAGGCTGGGGTAACCTCGAGGCACTTGGGGTGACCCACTTGCCAGTGGGTACACATTGGTGGAGCTAGAGCTAGCATCTGCACCTTCATAGGTGAGATGCACTTCTCTGCAAGCAGTGTGGTGTTTCTAAGTCAGATCCAACCTGCTACAGATGAGATTTGCAGTCACACATCCCTGACTTACAGCAATTATCCCAAAGGGCTTAAAACAGAGACAGGCAAAGCTCTCCCAGCCTGTTGCTGAGTCAAGTTTATAAGAAAGGACTACAGAAGAAAAACGTGCAGCTTAGAGCTGCCTCAGGCAACTGGGAGAAATCTGTGGAGATAGTAATCATGAAGGGAAATTAATTGCTCTGGTGAAACAGGAAGCTGCAACAAGGAGTAATGGGTGAAATTAGAGACAGAGCCTGCAGCAAGGTGCTGGCAATGGCTTTCTTTTGTCAGCGGTTTGTAACGCAGCAGTGTAACCAGGACAAAGCAGTGAGCAACAGCTACAGGAGATGGGGCAATGGCCAACCCTGCCTGTGACCTCTTACCACTTGCTCAGCCTTTGTAACCATGTGCTGTGTCCCCCAGGTCATCAGTGTGCCAGAGGGAGATTTCTTCTTTGACTTTGTGAGACACCTGACGGACTGGATAAAGAAAGCAAGACCGGCAAAAGATGGTAAGAGTGACTTTTCTCCATTGTGGGTCATGCAGAGCCCTTCTAAAGCCCTTCACCCCTTTCAAACAAGACTGGCCACGCAGTCTGCCACATGGTGGGCCAGGTGTGCTGTCTGCACCAGCACTGGGGACATCACCTGGGAGAAGCAAGATCTCTGCTCCAGGGCTAGACCTGGCCCCTTTGAGGAGCACCAGCTGGTGGGAAGCTCTCCAGGGCCGGCCCATAGGAAGGTTTCAGTGGTAGGATTCATCTCACCTTGCTGCCCACATCTGCAGCTCTGCTGAATGTAGTAGCTTCAAGACACAGGTGCCTCCAGGGTGCAAATCCTCTGTCCTGCATTATGTATGAGCATTATCATTTAAGTACAGCCATGCAAATGAAT